GGGTTTTGAGTCGAGTAGTAACATGATGTGATTTACGTTTTAACCGGGCTTGCTCTGGCTTCTGTGCTGAAAACAGACTGTAGGGGCCGGCCCAGTGGCGCAGCGGTTAAGTTCGCACGTTCCACTTTGGCAGCCCGGGGTTTGCCGGTTTGGATCCTGGGCGCAGACCTACTCACCGCTCATCAAGCCATGCTCAGGTGGCATCCCATACAGAAGAACCACAACTCTACAACTATCACACACAACTACGTACTGGGGCTTTGTGGAGAAAAAAGAAAAAAAAAAAAAGAGGAAGATTGGCAACAGATGTTAGCACAGGGCCAATCTTCCTCAAAAAAAAAAAAGGGTACAGTGTTTACCTTGTTACTAAAATCACCTACTCTTGGGCAGGCCGGGTGGCGCAGCAGTTGTGTGGGCGCTCCGCTTCAGTGGCCCGGGGTTCACAGGTTCGGATCCCAGGTGTGCACTGACGCACCGCTTGTCAAGCCATGCTGTGGCAGCGTCCCATATAAAATAGAGGAAGATGGGCAGGATGTTAGCCCAAGGCCAATCTTCCTCAGCAAAAAGAGAGGAGGATTGGCATCAGATGTTAGCTCAGGGCTGATCTTCCTCACAAAAAAATAAATAAATAAAAATAAATAAAATAAAATAACACTCATACCCAGGCCAACGTGGAACATCTGAAGACAGTCCAATTTCCTAAAGTGTCAATGCACAGCCACTTAATTTATGCCAGTTATCTGCAAGTGAGCTGAAGGATCCCACCTCAACAGCTCTTTCCCCAAAACAATAAATAAAAGGGGAAAAGAAAAAAAAAGGAAAGTGACCATTTCTAAACACAGCATTTACATCAGAATTCCCAAGCCCTTCATCCTAAAATTGTTTTCATGAGCATAAGCTAAAGGCACCAGAAAAGTATTATCCACCCCCTCCCAGCTGACAAAACAAAAGGTCAAGTGTCTGGCAGCCAAGCCTCTAAAACAGGGAACACTGTACCTGTGAGGTAGAATAACCTAGTGGCTGAATAAAGTCTGTCTGCAGTCAAACAGACAGGGGTTGGAATCCTAGTTCAGCCACTTACCGCTTTCACAAATGCAAAACACAGCTAACAAAAATATCTATCCCATAGGGTTGCTGTGAATGTGAACAGGACACAGTGTGAAAGTGTGTCACAGTGTGACACTCCATATGTGTCAGTGCCAAATTTTCATTCTGGAGACTTGACAAAGCCATCCATTTCTGTTTCAGATAGGGGAGCATATGAACCGCCCCCACGGACAGCCTTCTCATTTCTCCTTTAAAGTCTTCAAAGGAGTTTCTGCACTCAGAGGCAGGAGTGGTGGACTGCTTAAGAGCACTCACTCTGGGGTTTGTATCCCAACCAGTCTACTTACTAGCTGTGTGACTCCTGGGCCCCATTTTAGGTTCTTCATCTGTGAAATAGGGATGATGATAAAAATATTATTTATCTCAGAGGGTTATTATGAGGATTAAACCAGTCAATACATGAAAAATGCACAGAACAGTGCCTGGAATAGAGTAAATGTACAGTAGATGTTAGTCATTACATTTCTCCCCATAGGTGATATATTCCAAATTTTAAGCACACAGAGAACAAGATTATTTTAGAACTCTAGAATGTTCGAGTTAGAAAGACTCTAAGGAATCATTTCTAGTCCAACTCTCTCATTTAATAAATGGTTCCCAGGGTAGACTAGAGCTGGATATATGGTCTGACCAGAATTAAAACCTAGGCCTCCTGATGCCTACTGAGTGCTCACACCACACCACTGTACTTCCTCTTCTTAATGAAACGTAGAGTCATTCAGTCTCTTCTCCCTGCAAACCACCCGGTCATCTTCTGGAAAGAGCCAGAGCTACTTAAACATCTGGGAAGAAATCTTCCTCACCAAGATTTTCAGGAACCACTGCTTCAGGCAGCACTTTTTTGGGAGGTGGGTGGGTGGGCTATAATCTACTTCTCAAGAATCCATACCCAAGAGATACAAAAAACAAAAGTTTCACATATTATTAATTCCTTCCAGGAACAACTAAATATTCTTCCTCGGGAGGACATAATAATAAAACATTAACTAAATACTTTCTAAGTTTATGACACAATATTAGGTGCCTTTTGTTTTCTCTTTTTTTTTTTTTTTTTGTGAGGGAGATCAGCCCTGAGCTAATATCCGTGCTAATCCTCCTCTTTTTTTGCTGAGGAAGACCGGCTCTGAGCTAACATCTATTGCCAATCCTCCTCCTTTTTTTCCCCAAAGCCCCCCAGTAGATAGTTGTATGTCATAGTTGCACATCCTTCTAGTTGCTGTACGTGGGATGCAGCCTCAGCATGGCTGGAGAAGTAGTGCGTTCGTGGGCGCCCGGGATCCGAACCCGGGCCGCCAGTAGCGGAGCGCACGCACTTAACCGCTAAGCCACCGGGCAGGCCCCTGTTTTCTCATTTAATCCTCACAACACAGCTCCCCTGCCTCAAGTTGCCCTCCTACGTGCTCCTACAGTTTCCTGGTATTTCCCCGCTCCCAATACATATCACATTGTCATGCAATTGCCTGCTTACTTGTCTTGACAGTCTTCAGACTACAAACTGAAAAAAGATAGGAATCACAATGATCATGTGTACCATTCATTTCTTCTTTCAACAAACATTCCTAAACAATAAGACAGAAATGGCTCTGGCTCACTGGGGCCAACTATACTTTCCAAAGATGACTGCAACAGTATCTCCCATCTCACATGCTCTTCTTACAATGTGACCTCAACACTCCTCCAATGGTAGGGGGCTGGGGGCGGGGGTTGGATAATTAACGTTCCTTTCCCTTGAACATGCCCATACAGAGTACAGTGGAAGTGATGCTATGTGACTTTTTTTTTTTAACATTTATTAATTTATTGTGAGGAAGATCAGCCCTGAGCTAACATCCATGCCAATCCTCCTCTTTTTGCTGGGGAAGACTGGCCCTGGGCTAACATCTGTGCCCATCTTCCTCCACTTTATATGGGACACCGCCACAGCATGGCCTGACAAGTGGTGCTTCGGTGCGCGCCCGGGATCCGAACCCAGGCTGCCAGCAGCGGAGCACGCGCACTTAACCGCTACGCCACGGGGCCGGCCCCCTATGTGACTTTTAAAACTAGATGATAAAAATTCTACACGTTTCCACCTTGTTCTCTCAGGGCACTCGCTCTTGGAATCCAGCTTGCACACTGTGAGGAAGTTCACACTAGCCCATGAACAAAGACCACGTGGAGAAGTAAGAAGCTCAATTGAAGCCCCAGACACCATGGAACCAAGAGATACACCTTCCCCACTGTGTCTTGTTTGATTTCCTGACCCAGAGAATTGTAAGCATAATAAAATTATGATTTCTCTATGTCACTAAATTTTGGGGTGGTTTATTACGCAGCAATGGTAACTGGAACAACTACATAGAGCCTAATGTCTAACAAAGAATAAAGATACTGAATACGTGACTCTAAGGTATTGCCTCCACCTAACACAGTGACTGGAACAGAGTAAATAACTTGTTGAGTGTCTGAGGTAGTTATTATTATGCCCATTTTACAGATGAGGAACTGAGGTTTGAGAAGTTAAGCAACTTGCCCCAGACCTCACAACTAGTCAGTGGTAGAATAAATTAAAACTCAGATCTAAACCAACAGTCCCAACACAATACTCTCCTATCTCCCTCGGCACTTATAATTTTATGCTAAATATACAATAATCTGCTTTAAAATGGGATTGTCAGTATTTAAAACATTCTGGCGTAGTAGAATTCATCACGCAGTTTCATCTCTGAGATGGAAACCCACATACCACCTTTTCAGAGACGACTTTCCTGACCTTCCTAGCTCAGGAAATGCCAGCTCTCTCATCCTCCCCAGCCTTTCTACTCCATCACACTTTCATTTTCTTTCCAGCACTTCTCCCTAGCTGAAACTGTCTAGTTTATTAATTTGTTTACGTGTCTGCTCTGTCTCTCTGACTTGAATATAAGCTCCATGAGAGCAGGAACCTTGTCTGTCCTGTCCACTGCTATATCCCTAGTGCCCAGGACAGTGCCTGGAATATGGTAGGTGATCAAAAATTATTTACTGAATGGAGGAGTGACTGCATTCAGGCACACTGAATGTCCACTCAGTCTCATCACCCACCAATAAATGTGCAAATATGGAGAATAAGAGAAAACAAAATTAAACACAAGAACTGCAGCAGAATCATTCCATACAGTAAGGTCAGTACAAGAAATGGAAGAGAAGCGGAAACCATGCTACCACTGACCCACCTAGGAAAGCATAAAACCTGAGTTCAAATGAAGATGTAGGTAATGGGATGGAGAAGGGGGTCATACCTCCTATCCTCCATTCATATCCACTGTCCCCTCACTAAAAAAAAATCAGTTTCTTCAGACAGACACACTGACTTAACCACACCAAGGACAAATGGTTGGTGACCCTCTAGCATCAGACCTTCTACCCTTAATCTGGCCCTTCCTTAAGCACCAGTCACACCTCCCTGGGATGCAGGTGCTATTCCCACCAGGGCAAGGAGCAGGCAGTAACCTAGCTCTTCAGGGAAGATGTGAGGAGGGGAATCTTCAGACCCAGGGCAAGGGTCTCTGCATATGCAGGTCCCCAAAGGCCCTATTTCTCCCAGGAGGGAAGGTGACAGTTCCTGAGGCCCTACCAAGTGCTAGGCACTATGCTGCGTTCTTAAACATGCTTTTCCTAATTTAAGGGTCATTCCTTACTCCAAACCAAGATTAGGGCGGCCTGAAGTACAACTTGCCCATCTCAATATTCCCCAGACCCGCTACTCCCTACCCCGAGAAATTTTCCTCAAGCTCCGGGAGCAGTTGAGGAGGATAAAAAGAAATCTGGCGTGGCCTAAGAAAGAGAACGAGAGGGGGATTGTGTTAGCACAAGAGGGTTATACTGACTGAGTATAGGAATAAGTAAAGATGAAGATAAGAACGCGGTCTGACCCTTTCCAAGCCCAATATGTCCATCAGAAGAGGTGATAAGGAGCAGGAAACTGAAGCCCAGCAAACAGGTGGCCCCGAGACGAGTCCGCAGCTCCATGGTGGTAGATGCGCGGGGCCACTGGGCTAAGCAGACGCGGGGCCGGAGTCCCAGCAGAAGGTCCGCGCGGTTCCCCAAGTGCGGCTAGCTCAGCCCAATCCCTCCTGTTCCCAGATTTTTTTTCCCCCCCTAACCCTGAAGGAAGTGATGTTAGACGGATGTGGGTGGTGCCTCCGGGGTCCGGTCTGGGAGGGAGTGAGTTTAAAGGTGCAGATCACGTAGAGGGGGGCGGGAGTTGCTCCCGAGCGCGAGGAGCTTACCCCGGATTCTGGATGTTCGGTTTGAGGACCGAGAGGGAAAAAGTGGGCCGAGATAGTAGCGGGTGGGAAGGTGGCTCGGGAGAACCGTTGCTGGTTGCGTCAGCCAGCAGGCTAGCCCCTCCCCCCAAGAACCACTGCACTTAATATTCACGACGCAAATTATTGATTGGTGAAGTCATCCGCTCCTAACAGTGGCCAGGTTGCCCATTGGTCTCGGGTCTCCCTCATCCCTCTGCAAATAAAAACGACTTAAGACAACCGGATTTCATTCTTAGGTTCCTGCTCGGGTCTCCAGGAGACCTGGCAAACCTGTTTCTGCGGTGATGCATGGTCTCATGCCTTGCAAGAATGCCTCTTCCTGCTGCAGGAGAGCTCTGGACCTTATTTTTCCTTGCAAGCGCAATTCTTCCACTCAGGGATTATGCAACCAACTGATGCAAGCTTGGGATCTCTTATTGCAAAACTGACCTAGCTCTTCAGGTAACTAGGACATAAGTCACTGCAGGCATTTAAAGGTTAAAGCTTCTTCTGGTTAGATCTATTTGTTTTTAAACTTTGCGGGTTGAGTATTTCTCCTCAATTTTCCTCTCTGATGCATAATAAACAGATCAAATTTCCCGTCTCTTCTCCTGTGTGAAGACTAGTTGAGTCTTTACACTAGTGAGTCCGCACTAGTTGAGTCCGACAGTGTGTACTTAATGCTTAGTGAAGGATATCCAACAAAAGTACACACCCAAACAAAAATACACACTGCCCTTTTATTAGGCTTCCTATAACCTGTAGGCACAATAAAACGTTCAGGAGACTGCAAGCTCCAGAATGCAGCGCGGCCAGCTGCACCTGCCGCCTTTCTACTGGGAGGTGCAGAGCAGGCTGGGATTTGTAGTTTGTATCTGCGTTCCCCGGATAGGCTGCTTTGGTGAGAGGGAGGCGGGGCCGACCGTGTCACGTGGGCCCCGCTCCCGCCGCCGCGGCAGCCGTCGTCTTTCTCTGTCTCGACTGAGGCAGCCATCTTGCTCTTGCCGCGTGCTGGTGTCGGAGGACCTTTCCTGCTTCAGGTGAGACCCCCGGCGGTCTCGCCACTCCACGGCCATAGGCCGCTGCGCACGGTCTCCCCCCGCCCTCTTCTGCCGACACCCGCCAACCGCTTGGGCTGCCACTTCCGCCGTGGAGCGCCGAGTGGGGGCGGAGGCGGCTGGCTTGGCCTGTCGGTTACCGGCGGCGCAGCTGGGGGTCGGCACCTGAGGGAAGGTCCCCAGCACCACCGCCCCCTGTGCAGGCGAGCGAGTCCGCGCTGTTGCCGCCCAGATCCAGCCCTAGGTGGCGGGTGGTCCCCCGCCTGTCCTGTTACTCTTCATTATTCACGACAACAATGCTTTGCGTTTTATACAGCCGATCTGTTGTCATCTCATTTGATCCTCCCACTCTACAAATAGGGAAACTGAGGTTAGCAGCCCCCTCGGCCCCAAGCGCTTAGGACCGAATCCATTCCAGCGCTCTTCACCTCGTAATGGCAGTGTTTGTTTACAAGTCTGCCTCCCTCTCTGAGAGATTCATTGCCTTACCTGTCTTTATAGCCCCATTACACTGCCTGATGCGTAGTAGGCTGTCAGGAAATCGATGATTGACCGACAGGCACAGTGTTACAGCTAGTGAATGGCGGTTTCAACTTCCGTTCCCACGTTTTTTCACTATACCTACCATAGCTGTCCCCTCGGGAGTGGTAACAATAGTTACCAATTTTTGAGTATCTACTGTGAGCCATACCCTGTGCTTGATAACTTAACCTTTAAGCCTTACCTTTTCTAATACAGAAGGAACACAATTTCAGAGAATTAAAATATCTTTCCGAAGCCGTAAGTAGTAGAACCTTGATCCTTCTGATTCCAAAGCCTGTGCCTCTCTTAGAGAAACCCCACATAATAAAAACTCGGGACTAAAAGTTGAGATTATTTTATCGCTGTAAACATGATGTATGTGAAAGTGCCTACCATAATGCGTGGAACATAGCACTCAATAAATATTGATTATAAACTTAGTTAACACCCTTTCTTGAGTCCTTGAGGAAAGGGCTAAAAGATCCTAGGATACCTAAAGAAGAACCTACTAATCATATGGCCTTAGGAAGTATTTCTCCCTTTTGGGCCTGGGAAGTGACTTCTCCGTTCTGGGCCTTTATTTCCAAATCTGTTAAATTGGGAGGGAGGTGAACTGTTTTATTTGTTTATAACTTGTACCCTGCTGCTGCTTGCAGGTATTTGAGGTGGCCTCACGTACAAGATAGGAATAATGGGTACAATAAAGTAAAGGTTGATTGAGGAATAGAGAATTAAACCAGGTGATCTTTGAGTTCTAGTCCAGATTCTGAGCTTGAACGTCTCATCTCTGGTAGACTACGTCCAATCCTGTTACCTACTTGAATTCCACACACCCCAACCTGCTAGTAGACAAAGGACCACCCTTCTTTTTCCTCTACCCCGTTGAGCTTCCAACCTCCCTAAGATGCTTTTTCTCTGAGATACTCCTTAGGAACAAGTTTTTTGTTTGTCCTGAATATCTGGAATGGACTATGTTCTTTCATCTACACATTGATATAAAGAGTTAATTTTGTTCTTGCTTTGTTTCAAACAAGTCAGGACTCTTTACCTTGACTTTTGTCTCTTCTCATCCGTCTCTTCTCTTGGCGATTCTTACTTCAAAATACAGAAGAGTCCCAAAAGGTTACCCTGTGTCTAGTTCTAATATTTTCACTTAGCCCCTTTTTTGTAAAAAGTTCCTGAGGCTTGGGGGGGGGGGGGGGAAGATTCCTGAGGCTCTTTGTTAGTTCACTACACCTTTCTGGCCACATTCCTTTGAGAAAAGTGAATATTGGTCCTTTTCTGTGGATATTGAGTATAGAGATTGGGATTTACATCAGCAAATTTAAGTCTATGGCAGAGTTGAGATTGGCACACACATAGGTCTTCTGGTTTTGTACTCTAATCAAACTTCCTCCTGTAAAAGAGTGTTTTTAGCTTCTTGAGCATTGTGATATAGTGGTGAGCAAAGATTGAGGAATCCAATTCTAAATGTTATTTGGGAACTGGACTTTATTTGGCCTTAAAGCAGAGATATAGACAGGTTAGTGCCTAAGTACAGTGTCAGAATACACAATGGTTAATACTTATATAATCTTTCATTCCCTTTCATATGTCAAATGAAGAAAACAGTATCTTTTTCACCTAAATGATGATTATAAAGAGGTTAGAGAATTGGCCAAAAAAGTTTTGATAACAGCCTTGTCCTTTATTCCCTCTCATGTCTCAGTAATGATCTGTTGATCCACAGAACAAGACAAGACTTTTAACAGTGGCTTTTATTTGTTTATATAGTGTGGAATGTTATGACCCATTATAAACTTAAGAACATTTTTTCCTTAGTAGGAATATCACTGACCAGACTAGGATTCATAACTTTATAATGTTCTTAGAATTTTCAAAATCAAGATTGCCTTAAAAAGCTCCTCTCCCCCTCCTCCCCAAAACTTGTAGTATTAATATAGCAGAGATATGTTTTTCTCAGATTGTGCAGTGAGGCATTTTACCCTGTATGCGAGAATATCTTGACAAGTATGACATACTTTATCAGTGCACAGTATTCAATGAACTCTGTGGAAGGTGCTGCAGAAGTGCTGAATGTCTGGAAATCTGATTCTCTTTCCCTATTATTAACATACCATATGACCTTGAATAGAGGATGTGACTACCTCATATCTTGACAGCTGGACAGCCTATTGTTGAATTTCTTCTTTGTCCAGCTTTTTTCTTTCTTTCTTTCTTTTTTTTTTTTTTTTGTCCTCCATTTATGGTTTACAAGAAATACAGAATGTGATTTGGGAAAAAAAAGTCTACTGGAAGGTTGTGCTAATAACATTTGCTAACAGCTCTCTGCTGTAAAAATCTTTGAGGGAAAAAACTGGCTTGCCTGCAGAGATTTTATAATTGGTTAGGTTTTATTGAATGCCCAAGTACTGAATCTTGCTTTTAAGGAGGGATATTCAAATAGGTAACTTTGAATCCCATTCTATTTTCTGTTTGTATATTCGACTTCTGCATGGTATTATTTAATTTTGGTTCTTTTAATGTCTGGTTTATGAAGCTAGAACAAGTCATTAATATTTATTAAAAATATAGACAGTATTAATATGATCATGGTGGTGATGCATATTGCAAGCTCAGTGAACCAGAAGGTACTGTTGCATAAACAGTTATTTTATTTGGTAAAACAGTGACTTTAACAAATCTATTTTTCCCCCCCTAGATTTACCAACAGCATGAATCAAGAAAAGTTAGCCAAACTTCAGGCTCAGGTCCGGATAGGGGGCAAGGTGAGTGTGGCATAAGAAAAATTGATAGGAGAATGTATTATTACCAGATAGTATTATTATTATTTTGGATTTGTGGCTAAAATCTTTTCAATAATCAAGATCAAACCACATTCCAATTTGAAAATAACTTGTCTAGATCTAAAATAGGTAACTAGAAGACTTTTCTCTCTGATGGTGCAATGGAAATAGCCACCTTTGTTTGAATCCTCTTAACATCTGGTAGTTATGTGACATGAACAAGTTACCCAACCTTGTTAAGCTTCCATCTTTGCATCTGCAAAATAGAAATAATCCTGCATAAGATGCTTCTAAAGATTAGAGTAATATTTATAAAACACCTAACATGGTGTCTGGCACAGAGTAGATGCTGAATAAATGATAGCTATTATGATGTTAGACTCACCTGCAGGGCATCCCAGATGTTAAGGTTACCTTATATTGACTGGATAGACCTACTGCTACAGTTAGATTTACAAGTGGTTTAACTGGAGATGCTCAAGCTGATTGTATGTTTTTTCATTGCTAGGTTTTCCCCTCAAATTCCTACCTATTCTTCTATGTTGGTGAATATGAACCTAAGCTTTCTTATTCCATGTACTTTGAAACCTATGGAAGAGCTAGTTCTGAGCACCAGAATCTTTGATTCCCTTCAGCTCTGGCCCTAGGCTCAAGGAGAATATTCTGCTCTCATCTTTGCCCAATGCAATCTTCGCAAAAGGAAAAAAGCAAGAACAGTACTTACCTCAGACCTGGGGAGGGGGTAGGTAAGAAACTATGTAGCAGCCCCACTATGTCATTTACTTTCATGATAACCACAGTTCCTGGGGATGGGGATAGGAGAGGGAGAAGGGAAGAAGTGATTAGTACTTTGTCCTTTCATAGTGATACAGTTATATGACTCTGGAGTCATATTAACACATTCATGTAACCAAAAGTCACATTGTAGCATCAAGTGTATTGTAATGTACGAATGCAAAAACTAGAGATATTGAAGAACCATAGAATATACCCGGAAGAGCTTGATGCAGCACATCACTATTAAATATTTTAAACGAGGTGGTTGGCACATTCATTCATTTAACTAGTTTGAGCACCTACTATGTGCCGAGCACATAGTAGATAAACAAGGTTTCTTGCTCTTGACACAGCTCAGCTTGGAAGAGACATGTTCACAGTTACACTACAGAATAGTAAATGTTAAAATGAGGTACAAGGTGCTCTTGCCTAGGAGACACAAGAAAGTCATCCCTGAGTTGAGATTTGAAGAATAAACAAGAGTTTATCACTAAATAGTGACAGGTAGACAAGTGAGAGGGTGAGTGGGTAGAGTGAAAAGGGATTGTCATTCTCACACATGCAAAGACACATAGGATGCTGAGATAATACAATGCTTAATGGAATGGCTTGCTTTAGTTTGGTGTAGCTAGAGTTTAGAGTATATAATGGATAAAGAATAGTAGGAAATGAAACAACCAGGTAATATGGCGTTAGAGCATTGTCTTATACCATACTAAGGAGCTTAGGATTTTATTCTGTAGGCAAGGGGCAACTTTTAAAGGATTTTAAGAAGGAAATAAGTCATTTTAGAAAGGTAACTGCTGGCAACGTGGAAAATGGAATGAAATAGTTTAGCGTAGAGGAGAACAATTGAGACGCCATAGCTGTAGTATGTGGGACACAAATTTAGGGATTGGAATTGACATGACTTAATGACAGATGGAATATGGAAGATGAAGGAGAGAGAAGAGTTTAGGATGAACCCCAAATTTCTGGTTTTAGAGACTGGGTATGTGGTGGTACCACCAGCTACAACACTTAGGAAATATAGGAAGAATAATTTGATGGACTGATAAGCTTTTAGACATGTTGAATTTGAGGTACCTGAGGATCATTTGCATTGAGGTATCCAGCAAGCAACTGAGCTATCGCTGAGGGAGGAACACTTCACAAATAAATGACCATCTATGTAAATAGTCACTCCTAGTCCATCCTTCAGCCACTGAATTTAGTCACAATCTCTGCTGCTACTCATAGAGCTCTCTTCTGCTCCCACCACAGTTGTTGAGACTGAAGCCCCTGCCTACCTTCTATAATGCTGATTCCCTGAGTACTACTGCAGGAGCTACCCAGAGATTGAAATCTCCATTTTTTTCCCCCTTATTCCTGTGAGGTCTCAGAAAGATTTAGCCCTCAAGACTTAACGCTGCTTTTGGTAGTGTTTCAGCTCTGCTTTAGATTACATCTTTGTAAATTGGCCCAGGAATTTAATCCATTATTTTAAATAGTTTTTCAATGGAAAAATATATTTAGAGTTTCAGAGTATCCATTTAGAAATGAGCTTTTTCCTATCTGAGTAAATAATATAATTTTCAACCTGTTTGTTCAGGCCAAAATCCAAGCATGATTCTAGATTCCTTTTTCCCTCATATCCCACATCCAATCCATCACCAAATCCTGTTGGTTCTTCTGATAGGCTGATCTCTCACCATTTCCACTGCCACAACTCCCATCTCTCATCAGAACTGCTACAGTAACTTCCTGGTTGATCTCAGTATAGTTCATTTTCCACAGCAACCTCAGTCGTCTTTTAAAATCATAAATCAGATCAAGTCATTTCCATGCTTAAAACCTTTCACTGGCTTCCTATTGCAATTGGAATAAAATCCAACTCCTGCCCATGGCATTCTATGCTATATGATTTGGCCCTTGCCTGTCTTTCTGATTTCATTTTCCTCCTCCTTTCCTGTTGTTCACTCTGCTTTAGTCATATTGGCCTGCTTTCTCTTTCTAGAAACAACAGGTTTACTCTTGTTTCATTCTGCTTGGATCATTCTTTTCCCTAGATCGTCCCAGGGGTTTCAGGTCAAACGTCACCTCTTCAGAGGGGCCTTCCCTGAACTTTCCAATAACGGAATGCTTTCCCCCCACCCAATACTCTTTATCACTGTGGTGGTGGTGGTGTTTTCTTTATCGTGTTTGAAATTATATAATTTGTTTATATATTTATTGCCTTTTCCCCTCCACTGTAATGTGTGCTCTTTGAAGTAAGAACTTGATCATTTTCATTCCTGGATTCTAGGACCCGGGAACACTCACATAGTAGGCATTTGATTCTTAATTATGTCATAATCTCCAAAGGTTCAGAATATCTTTAGACTTAACTATATTGTCAGGGGCTATAAAAAAGCATTCCTCATAATGTTTGAAAGTTGTTATAAAGCACACTAAATTGTCTTAAAGTTATTAATTATTTTTGTTAGAAAACTTTTAAAACATAATGTGTTGAAATGATAAAGGCTGGTTATTGGAAAGAATAAAAATTGGCTAGAACTGACCTTAAAATATCTAGGTTAGGCTGACAGTCACAACTCTGAGCAGTCTAATTAATCATTACTATTAAGTCAGCAATTTCTTATGTGTGTTTTAGCTAGAGTATTGTGGATAGGAAGACATGTGATTGCAGTTGCCAGATGCAAGGCATGCTAATGCTTCTGTTTGGTTACTTTTCAGGGTACAGCTCGCAGAAAGAAGAAGGTGGTACATAGAACAGCTACAGCTGATGACAAAAAACTTCAGAGTTCTCTGAAAAAACTGGCTGTGAATAATATAGCTGGTATTGAAGAGGTATGATCACTTTGTAAATTGTTAAGTTATGTGGACAAATAGCACATTCACAAATAATTATCCACACTTTTCAAATGTAAAATATCAGTTTAGAAGAATCTGATATTGTCATTCACATGTCTGAAGGACTATAGCTGTTGAATTTGCTCATTGTATAAAATTGGGTGATTGTAAAAAAAATGATTTCAGTAGACAGTTAAGGAATTCATCATACTTTTCAGTCTCAAAGTATTTGCATATATGACAAAATTATGGAACTGCTTTTGAGTTTTAATGTAAAATAAGATTTTTTTCTAAAAATATAGAAATAAAGAAACCCCAAGATTTCTTCAAATATGGTGGACTTTTTTCTTTTAAAACCACCTTTCTACTCTACAAAGTCTCGAATTATTACCTCAGCCAAGAAGCTTAGCAATAGCTTTACATGGATTGGATTTCTTATTAGACCTCTT